GCTGCGTCTGTCGGGCTCCTGTCGCTCTCCTCCAAAAGACAACAGCTACACAACGTGCACACAACTTTAACGCCCAGTTAGGAACTCGAGCTCCGCTGGTAGTGCTCACGTGAAAAGAAATCGGGGAGAAAGAAAGGAAAACTAGAAGGAAAGAAAACCCGCCAGTGGCAAAGAACAGTGCCCACTCAGGAAGGTCTCGCTCCTGCACCGCAGAGCCCCTTTCAAAGCGCCGGGCCCGCGCCTCAGGTGGGCAGGCAGCGCCACGAACCTTCACACCTAGGCTAAGCTGCTGTTAGATGGAAGTGCGGAGAGCAACCCAACCGCGAGCCCGCAAACTCAGAGAGTGAGAGAAGTTGTTGATTCATCTCTATTTTTGGCACTTTCTCCCCATTTTTCAGAAGGCGCCTGGAACAGTTAGTAACAGAGAAACTTTTTAATTTTAAAATAGCTTCATAACTTATAGAGGCCAACCCGACAAGGTGAAAGCCCGGTTTCGCTTCCCGCTCTCCCCAGCAGGAGCGCGAGGAGCCTCGCACCAACGGGCGGCCACGGGACTGGCGTGACCCGCCCGGCGCTACTTCATTAGGTTGCAAAACTCAGCGCACCGAGAGCCGTGGACCGCGAGCCTCTGCCTCGCTAGCGAAGCGGCATCCTCGCTCCAAGCGAGCCCAAAGAAAATGAGTTTTAAGTCAGTACCTCCTGAAATAACGGGACTGTTTTATAAAGTATTTTCGAGAATTCCACTAAAAATGAATAATAAATAAACAGCATCCAAGCATTCGGTGTGGAACGGTCACCTTGAAACAGAACTTCAAATGTATCCGTCAAAGCTTTATCATTAAATTCGCTGGTTGATGACATAACAGCTAGTTTTCATGGATTCTTTTAATTCTAATAAAATACACAGAGATTCAATTTACCTGTCCCCAAATTTTAAGATTGTAAATACTGAGTTTGAATTCACCTGCGTTCAGCAAATTCAAACTAGTCACCTGGCTGTAGTTAGCTAGAATTAGCAGCAGGAAATCTCTTCCTTTCCAGATATTGCTATGTCCTTTAAAATCTTTAATTATAAGAATTCCCGTGGTTAGTCAGTGACACTTTCAACTGCTGTAAGAAACACCTTGACTTTTTGCATAAGTTTGGCAAACACACACACACAAAAATCTGTAAGAAAATAGCTGCAAACAGAGTACAAGGATGTACCATCCTGCCCGTGTTTACTACACCATCCATTTGTTACTGCAAGTTTTTTTTTTTCTCCTTTCAGTAAACAAATAGAAAAAAAAATCTTTAGATGTAGCGTCCTCCTTTGAACAGCCTACTAAGTACGAGGCAGAAATGGGGCAACAGATAATTAAGGCACCAGAAAAAAATAACCGCCCACCTGGATGCAAATCGGGAGAGCATCTCTGCGTTCCCGAAAACCCCGCGCAGAGCCCGGCACAAAGAGGTGCCCGCGTCCCCTTGCAAGTAACGCGCTGTAGCTTGTTGCTTCCCCGGTGCGATCAGCTATCAGCTAAGTTGCAGATGCAGCTCTCGCTGTCACCGAGCTGCAACTTATCGGCGGGAGCAGAGGGGGAACTCGGTGCCCACTCTGTGCAAACGTGTGCGCGCTGCTCAGTGACAGCCCTGTGTCCCTCTCTATTGGCATAAGCGAACGTCCGCCGCGTAAATAGGTCTACACGCGCCGAGAATCAAGAAACCTGTTTTTACTTTTAGCGTTACCATTCGCTTATGCCTATCTTTTAAGGGACTTCCCTTGCTTTTCCTTCACAAAGGCTAAAGACAGCGTGGAAAGCAGCGCAGCCAGACGCTGAGGGATGCTGAACTGCTGTGGTCCTTGCAGGGGGAAGGAACCAGGGGCTCTCCCTTCACGTTGGGGCACTTACCTGTTCGCTGCTGTCACTGCATTTTGCGCTCTCTTCATAAATACGTTAACGTAAAGCCATGTTCAACAAGCAGTGCAACCTGCGTGCTAAGTTTCACACACCGCATCTTCAAGATGAGCAAATCTACAACTCCTGCGGAGTTGGTAGAACAGGCTCTAAAGTTTTGATTCGAAGGGCAAGAAATGCCACGTTACAAGTCATTCACACATTCACAGCTATTCTCCCCAATTAATGCAGAACAATTAATAGACATCTTTTTAAATTAACTCTGTTGACACTCTCCGACAGTGAGAACTTTTTTATAGGCTTGGTGGAAGTGTTCAGAGAAACTTTTGTAAAATAATCAACTGCGTTTTGAGATAAAGCTAAAGGAAAAGAAGTTAAAACCTGATCAAAAGATTGAAAAATAAAAGTTTTGTTAGACTAGATAAAAGCACATTACTGCATGCTCTTTCACAATCAAGCCCAAGGATCTCTGGTGATTTCCTCAAAATTTAGGGGGACGTTTGTATTTATTAAACCCAAAGCAAAAGGTCTGACTGAGAACAAAAACTCTGAATTCCCTAAAACATCATCTGCTAACACAATGTATTATCCCGTCAGAAACAGTACCAAGGCGGAAAAAAAGGAGTTTTAATTTCATTTGAAACTGTGCAGCATCTTGATAGAGAAGCAAAAGCCGCAGCAACAACAATCCCCCCATTCCACCCCCCCCGTAAAAAAAAAAAAAAGAAAAGAAAAGAAAAAAAAAGCAACATAAACTTTTAGAAAGAAAATAAGAGCAAGTTTGACATGAAAACCCCTTCCTGTTTCAGAAAGTTCATTTTAAAGGTCCCCTCTGTAAATCTAAAGTGCAAACACCAGGCTAAGGTAGTGAGTGGCTGGAATTTGCATGCTGATAAGAGAAGGCTGTTGTACTTACAGTGACAGAGGGCAGGCTGCGGAAGAAAAGCTGTTTGTGTTAGCCTGAGAGTCACCCAGGGCTGCAATGAGAGGAGAAGAGAGGAGTGGGAGTGCCAAGCTGGATACACCTTCACCGCATCTCATCACATCTGCCAGCCTCTCTCTCCCTCTCTCTTTCATTTCCACATTCCCTTTGTTCCTGAAAAAAAAAATCTACACGTCACATCAGTCCCCAGATGCAGTCTACACCAAAGAAAAAATGAATAATTCAATCAAACTGTGCATAGTCTCTAAGGCAATAAATCTATTGCACTTAAAGAAACGAAGGGTAATTACCGCTATAGAATTAGAATAAGGCCAGAGAGCGCAGGGGTCCCAGGGTCTGTAAACTCCACGGTCAAATAAAGTTTCATTTATTTAAATCCTTTGACAACCCCAGTGTAAACTAAAGGGGAGGATCGGAACTTATTGCGGGGGGGGGGGGGGGAAAGGTTTGAAAGGAATATTCC